CGTCCGTCCGTCCGTCCGTCCTATGTGATCCGCCCCGGCGCCAAGATGAAAGGTAGGGAAGGGAGCAGGGAGCCCGCTCCGCCGCCCCGCACACGTGTGCCGCCGGTCACCGGGCACCGGCAGAGCGATGGGCAGGGGGCGGGCGGGATGCGGGAGGAGGATGCAGGCAGGGAGCGGACGGCGGGCAGGGTGCGGGCAGGGGGAAGACGAGGGGCAGGGTGCGGGCAGGGTCTGTAGAGTGCGGGCAGGGTGCGGACAGGACCTTCCGCAGGGTGCAGGCGGCGGGCGGGACGGGGTGCGGGCGGGACGGGGGTGCGGGCAGGACACCGTGCGGACGGGACGGGGTGCGGGCAGGACACCGTGCGGACGGGCTGCAGCAAGGGGAGGTTTCGGGCAGGGCACCGTGCAGGCTAGGTTGCGGGCAGGGGAAGCCGGGTGCGGGCAAGAAGACCGGCGGGACGGGGTGGCGGGAGAGGCAGAGCGCGCCCCCGGCCCCGCACACGGGGCTCTGCGCTTCGGTTTGGCTGGTGTCGGTCGGTCCCGCAGCGGGCAGGGAGCGGGGTGTCCCTGGAGGGGTGTATGTGTGTGTGTGTGGCCCGTCACTTGTGCGCTGCCCGGCACGTTTTCTCTCGGCACCCAAACTTTTGTCTCCCCGCCTCCCATGCCGTCCCGAGAAGACGGCTTTTTTTTTTTTTTTTAATTATTATAATTTCTCCCTAACTTGTTTATTTTTTGCCAGCGTTTTGCGATGTTCTCGGTGTTGCTTCTAAACATCTGGCAGTGATTAGGTGCCAGTAGAGGCTTAACTGGCTTGTGAAATGTATTTGGCATATTTCTCCTCAACATCCACCGACTGGAAAATATTTGGTCTTTGCTTTGCATCTGTTAAAGCTGAAACTTTGTTTCTTTTCCTTTTTCTCTCTTTCCCCCTCCCCGGCTCCCTCTCTTTTTGTTTTAAATGGGTGGAACGTTTGACCCAGTCCTACAAAGTTGTGACTGAGAGGTATTAGATAATACGCTTTTAAAATCAAATAAAAAAGCAGATTGCCAAATTGCTACACTAGTAAAGATGTATTGGGGGGGTAGCAAGAAACCTTCTGTTTATGAAAATTGATAGCCTTACAGCGAAAGGCAAAGACTTTACACGCTGGGGAATAGTTACAATGGAAACATCAAAGAACATTATGGAAAGTTTAGGAAGTAGTTGGGAGTTTGTGAGAGTTGAATCTAGTTTTTCTTCAGAGGCAAAAATAAACTTAAAGGGTGGGAAGGAAAAAACCATACACACAAGAAAATTGCTTTTGGGCACCAGTGTGCCTGTGCTTGGATTGCAGAGTTTGATTCCAGATGCCAGGAGGCCAGTAAACATCATGATAGTTACGCTTAGTTTCCAGAGTCTAGGACACCAAATGATGTGATTATTTATTCACTTGCCAGAGTAGCTGCCTGAAGGGAGGAGAAGCTTTTGGGGGGTGGGTGGTGGGGTGTGTGTGTGTGTGTGTTTGTTTTTGCAAGCCCACACACGCTTTAAGTTACTTCTGGCACCGTGACACGGTGTCTCTTCAGGACCACGCAGCATATTAAAAATAATGTCTTTACAATGTTCTTTATTTATGGGGTACTCGTGCCAAAAAGTTTTGTCATCAGCTTGTCATTATCAGCATAAGTGTAATGGCAGGAACAAACCGAAACAATGGAATTCCAGTAATACAAACCCATGCCTGTTATCATGCAAGAGTTATGCTCTATTTTTGTTGGGGCTGAGGCTGCGCTGGTTTTGGGGGGAGGCGGGATGCGAAGGACCGAGGACAGCAGTAGCATTTTTGGGAAGCCGCATAATGTGATGCCTGAGAGTGGGAACTGGACTGTGAACCCACTGAAGCCAGGGAGCATTTTGCTGCAGTTTTAAGTGGGTACAGGATGTGGCCAGGTATAATGCGACTTGCATCTCCTTCTGTTCTGCCTCCGTCGCTCTTCTTTGCAAAGAGGAGAAGTGGCATTTGGAGAGAAGATGTTACTCCTGCTGGGAGCACATGTTGGTGCCCCACACTTTAGCAAGAGGGAAATGCTTCACCCGGTTGCTAGTCCTTACTCTTCTGTTTCCCTAAGAGTGACCACATAAGAAGCATCTTATTTCTTTCCCCCGCAGAGTTACAGAAATCGGTAATAAAACACGCAAAGAAGTACCCGTAAATGACTGTGCTATAAGCAAGAGAAAAGAGAGACTTTAAACAAATCATCATATGAAGTGCCATTGCCAGTGTTATGGAAGTTAGAGAGCCAAACCAAATTTTGACTCCGTGTTTTCCTTTTCTGGGTACAGACTTGGTTTTTCATGTTTTCTCTTTAAACTTGATGGTGGTGATAATTGTAGGGCTTTAGAACTCAGTGTAGTTACACATTTTTCTCAATAACAAGAATATGATCTGTTGATTGCAGCTGTCTCTGTATCTACCATCTCTGGAGAATGGAAGAATATCTAAATAATTACATCACTAAATATCTGTAAGGAATAAATTATATTTTCCATTTCTGGTATTCGTAATGTGTTATGTTTTAAATCAGTAAAACAAATTGAAGTTTATGTTTAATATGCTGGCAGTTTTATTTCCAGGAAACTACACTGAGCTCACAAACTTTGTGATACTTTTTAGTAATAATTCATGTGATTTATACAAGGACTTGACTGCTTTAGGGTCAGATGTATCTTTATCAAATGATATTTCTAAGTTGTAGCTATTTATTGGGGTATGAAGCAGTATTTGTTGCCTGGGAAACAAATGAAAACAGCTTCCTCATAGTCAAACACCACCACATGTTCAAAAACATTGGCCCTTAATTTAAGACAGGGACAAGCGTTGTTAAAACTGAGAATTTCTTTCTATATATCTGTGATATCTATTGTCATGATTATTTTAAACTATATCTATTATCACTTCTATCATGGCAGTTCTGCTGATAAGTATTTCCGTCTGAAATGTGGATATTGTTTGGATAACGACTTAATACTAATGCCCAAAATCAGTCAATGACAAAATCAAGGTGGTCATTTTGGGACTGTTGCTCCAGGATGACAGAGAAGCTCTTGATTATGATACCAAAGGTATCTCAGCTGCTTCTTTCCACTCCTCCTCCTCCTCCTCCTCCCACCTTCCTGCTGTCACAGGCACCTTGCTATGTACCGCTTCTAGAGCAACGATGCTGGAGGACAAAAAATCTGGTGTCTTGTGCTTGAGAAGCAGATTGTGACCAAACACCCTGTCCTGTGCAGTTCCTCTCATTTAGTAAAAAAGATGCACAGAATGAAGTGGTGAGTTGGGCTCATGTGTGGCTGTGCTCTACTGAAATGAGTGAAGCCGGCACGGCCTCAGGAATGGTCTAGTCTGAACACCCAGCTTTCTTAGCATCAAACAGTTGGCCTCAGAAGCAGCTATACATGCTTGGTGCACAGAGTTTTCTGTACATAGAATATACTGAGCTTTCATGGGATGTGCCAGTTGAGTTTACCTCAAGTTTGCCTTACACAGTGCACACTATATCAGAGAGTTAGTGACAAATCACCCGCATTGCTAACTTCATCCCTTCTGTGCTTTGACTTGGATCCTGGATGTAAACTGCAGGTAGAGCTCCCATTTCCAAAAGCTGAGTGTGCATGCAGATTCAGTTGCTCTTTCTTGGCTGAGTTGAAAAGTCTTAAAATAAATAATCTATTTATATGATGTCTACCTTGACAGACTTCATCTTTCTCTCTAACTGTGTTGACGCCGCCACTATACTTAATGAATAAAAGAATAAATGTTCTGATTTTCTAATACTGGAAAAAAATGTGTCTCTCTCTTCATGTGCATAAAATCAATAGTCATCTGCAAATAGGTCTTTCCTGGACAGAAACTTCAAACTGCAAATTTCAAACAAATCCGGTCCAGAGCATTTTGCAGAAGCCAGAAAGCATCTGAAAATTGAGGATTAGAAGTGGAGTGATCCAGTAACCTTTACTTAGTCCAGTTATAACAGAGCTTATATGAATATAGTGACATAAACATGAAACATATGCAGGAGCTGTGAGTGGTGTGTGTTGGACATGTCACAGGACCCTACCACAGAAGTTCAAAGGCATGAGCACTTATAATAAATGTGTGATACAACGCAGAACAAATCCTGAGCAATGCTACTATACAGTCAGCGTGTATCCTGAATTGGTTGGTAGCACGGAGGATTTTAAGCAGATGGATGAGAAAGATGATCATGCGTGCATGTGTCAAAGGATATTCTTATTACACAGAGGAAAGCAGAGTGTTATAAGCTGTGAAAATACAAGAGAAATCTGTTATTGCACAGATGGAAATATTACTGTACAACTGCAATGGATATTGAGCAGAATTAGCATATAAGCTATTTATGACAGGAGTATTTTGGGTAAGAAGTTGTAATTGTTCATCTTTGCTTTCAATATTCTACTTTTCCCAGCCACATGGGACTAAGAATAGCACCAGCAAGCCTGTCCCTGTGAAGAAGGGAGTTGTTTAAAATCTCTTGTGGCTCTTTCTTCTCCTACTTTGGATAACATACATTTATTCTAGACTGATTTTGCTACAGCTGAGAGCTGAACAGAGCCCTTTTTTGTCACAACTGCTGAACAGTTTGCTTAGATCCGCACTCAAAGACCATTGTGCCCAGAGGTTCAAACACCTTTGCCCGCTAGGATAAGGAGGGAAAGGTAATCTTGCAGAGAGAGTGAGCTGATCAGGCCATGCAAAGCAAAACCAGAGTAAAACAAAGAAAGAGAACTGGAAGAAATGTCAAGGATGAAAGCAGTTCAGTGCTGCGAAGGATGCGTGCCCAGTTATCTTCAGCTTCACAAAACGTTCCTTATCCTGAGGTTCTGTGTGTCAGAACAGAGATTCCCCCCTTCCAGCCCTCCCCCTTGGAAAGCAAAATAAAGACACTTTTTACCAGGCACTGAAAGTGAACCTGATCCTCCTAATAATGTGAGCATGGTCTCTATGAGTGAGGGAGCAATCTAAGATGAATTGTCTTTGCAGTTTGACTGTT